CGAAAATATTTTTATTTACAAATACAAGTGCTTAACATTATGGTCGGGCAAGGCAAGCACTTTAACATCACTTCCGCTTATACATTTCTTCATTTATTTTGGTCAAATAAATTACCGAAAGTTATATTTTATTTCCAAATAAGCCGGACGGACAGATATGATTTTAAATCGATCGGTATATTGAAAAGTGGCTGCATCTGTTTTATTTTCTTTTTAAAGGACCGATCACTTAGAAGATGTTGCCTATTCACCTAACACGGGGACGGTCAGAAATAAGAAGAAATGAAGGAAAGAATGATTTAGGGATTTTGTCGCAAACTAGTGGGTCTGTGTACCCAATTACTAAGTATTACGCCTTTACCGACTGGCGAGCTCTGACTTGTTAGTCACGGTTCTTATGTGCCCGGCTACTTTTGTCCAATAGCACCAGTGTTATAGAATAAGAAAGGGAATCGAAATATTAGGGAAGCGTTGAATTGTCGAAAGTGACTGTATTGATGAATAAAATCAAATGTTGCCAAAAAAAAAAATATATATATATATGTGGTTACTTACTTACTTACTTACTTACTGGGACTTATTGGCCGCCGTAGTGTATCCCTAAGCCAAATATTTCCATTATATAAGAGCTTAGAAGTTCTAATATGCTGTGAGAGTGCGATATGTTCTTCAGTCCCTGACTTGAATCACGTTCATAATCATGGGTAAATTATTACTTTACCTATGTATGGCTAAGCAAAGTTTATTTAAGACACAGTTAACACATAAATTCTCCTTTCGACAATAGCGTATATGGGTATAATTAAAATCGCATTTTAAAAACCTATTAATAATAAAAGATTTCACGATTATTGAGACTATATTTTAAGCTCTTAAAAACTAAAAACGAAACTCCCATTCAATTGGTAACGCCATCAATTGATTGAAAAAATTTTTATTGTTTGCTTTACCCTAAATTTTCTAAAATCACTCCCCTGCTTAAGAACTGCTCAGCATTGCGGCGACTTATTGTTTATAGAAAGTTTTCAATTTTTGAAAATATTAAAGAGAGAAATAAACATACAAACGCACATACACACACACACACACACACACAAGCACGCGCGCGCATACTTACATTTTTATAAAATATGCGCAATAACGTGCACGAAATGTGTGCTAAAAGTTAATAAGTGAAATTTTATGGCTAATCATTTGTGGTTCCTTTCCTTTCACCATTTTTATAGATATTGACAATCATCATTATCGTTATAATCGATGAAAACGTCGCTTCTACAATCGCCCAACTATACACATACACACATACACACACACAAACACACAAATATACATGCATATATGCATACATGCTTACAAAGCGATAGGTATTTACGCGCACGCATACACACATGTTTACATATATATATGCACATGTATATATATATATATATATATATGTGCATTTATAAATAAACAATCAAAAATATCGGTCTAGCAATCATTAACCATCGTCATCATTGCGGTGTATTGTCAGCATGATGAGAAAATAATGATGATGTCATTTGTTTTGTTGAATGTGTTGCAAATAGCAGGTAAGAAGAGAAGGGATCGCAAATAATCAAATGCAATACAAATATATATATATATATATATAACTACGTATTGTGTATTGTATTTTGCGAGGGGTTGCTGGCAATAACAAAAAGTATCAATTGCAGTGTTTGCCAATTTCATTCCGACAATGCAAATGATGACTGTTTTCATTTTCTTGTTTTCAAAGTCACCAAGCAATGAAACGCTTGAAAGTGTGCTAAATTTGTTATTCCATTGGCGATTGGGCAAACTGTGTGTATGTCAAAATTTCATTTAGGGAAGAAATCTCGAAACGAATCAGGTTCATTCGTCTGTTGTCTGCTGTTGATGTACTTTCGATCGCTATAGAAATCAGGAAAAGCAACTTCCGATTTAAAACATACAATTTGAATGTATTTGCTTAAATTTATTTTAAATATATATATACATATATATATATATAGAATGTTGTACTTGCCGGCTCGCCTAGAACAACACAATTTGAAAAAGCCGAAATTTGCATTGCATGCGAAGATAAAGTGAAGCGTACTTAAGATGCGTGGCAATCTTAGTTGTTTGTTGTTTTCAGTTTTTCGGTGTTTTATTTTTTATTTATTTATTTTTTTTTTTTTCTGTACTCTTTCAAAGGCTTTTAAATAGTTTAGGGGAAACCCGGCAACAAGTTGCTTCTGTTCTCATTTGCAAATGACTCACGTTAAGTTATATAGGGGACCGATGAAGAAATCAATAATGTTTTCATTTGTGATCATTTAAACAATTCCTTAATGCATTAAAATTCATCTCCTACCATAGCTTCTGGCATAGTTATAAACAAATTAAATAATAATTTTGTGAAAATTGTGAAAACAACTGCTAACGCAACACAATTTTCACATAATTAAAGACAATGTGCTAAATAAAGCGATACATGCACGGAAGGAAGTAATTTTTTATTAACAAAATAATAAAAATTTTTACGGAAAATCATTAAAGGAAAAAAAAAAAAAAAAAAAAAAAAACAACAACAAAAAAAAGACGAACATTTTGATAACTATTATATATACTTTTTGTAGTAGGTTATCAGGCTATCATCTAGCCCGGATTTGAAGGGAGAAAGAACTGGGCAGCGTTCGGTTCGGTGAATGTAGCACAATTTTATCACACAATTTCTTACGTTTAAAATAAGCATCCAGGAGTTCGTAACGTTGATTGATTGCGTGAAAATTCCGAATCATTTGGCCACCAGGCATTTGTCGATCAAATGTTTACAATTACAAAGGTCGAGATAGACGTAATTTACGTGAATCGTTCATTGGCCTATTGAAAGTAAATGTGATCAGCAGCGGAAAAGAGATCCATTTACAAGCTATAGTAGATATTCATCAAGTATTTCTCGCGATCGGCCAACTAATGTGCACAAACATCTAAGCAAACGTGCACACATAAATACACACACAAAACAGACCGAGCGGTATACTTTATAATACAATTGGCAGTACAGCGATTTGGGACGCTGCAATTGGTCATGTAACGAAGGTCGCCAATGAACTGTGACACTTAGAGAGGTCGCGAGCGGGTCGTGAGTAGGGGAAGAACTCAAAATCGTCGATCCAAAACCAGCGAATTAATAACAAATAGCCCACGGATGGCAGATGAAGTCCATGCATAGATAATAACGGTTTAGTAGCTAGATGCCCTGGAAAGGTGCATGCTGCGAGAGCTCTGGTAGTGGGCAATAGTACCCTTAAAGATCTCCACCTTCAATTTACTTGATCATATATCCACACACACGTAAGCATCCATACAAGAACAAGAGGTAATGGAAACCGTCATAATTTTGGCTTATTAGCCTCGAAGATCCGCCATAGAAGGGATATATGTGTTTTATTGCCATGCAATCGCCAGAAGATAAAAAAATGTAGACATATTATAACTTTCGCAGAAATAGTTGATTTAATTACTTTCGTCTATGTCTGTTCCATTTCCGAGCTTCAAAATATTTAGAAGATAGATAACAGTCGATGTATGCAATTAAACGAAGCTTGGGAATTTAATTACAAAAACGACAAGAAATTTGTCCTCAAGGACATTCGAAGACGATCAAAGCAGTCTGTAAGACATCAGTGCAAAAACCAATGTGCCTACGTTGCAAGTCATATTTAAATTAAACAATAACGAAAGAGAAAACCACGATCTTTTTATATTTATATACATAATATTATATAAACAATGCATTACATTACAAACAAATGAAACAAAAAAGAAAAAAAAAAAAAATTATTATTATTATTGTTATTATTACTGATTTCGCCAGGAATTAAATTCCAAGACTAAACTCTTAAAAGCACTAGCATCTAAGGCTATCATCGTCTTTTCATTAGAAACTCTAGCGCACTTGAGATTCAAATTCCACGACAATTTAGTTGGTAGTCGAGATTCCTCGCCTTCGGCCACTCAGGCGGATTAAAAAAAAATTATAATAATAATAGTATTAAGTAAAAGTAACAATAATCGAAAGAGAAGTACTTTTGAAACAAAATAATTAAATAAAAGCATCAATAATGTTAATGGAAGAATTTTCGCTTCCATTTACTTGTTTTCATTTTAAAGATTTTGGAGAAGAGAATTTTCAACATTTTCCCCGAGATTTGCACGAGTGCTAATCATTGAGTTGGTATATAGTCAAACTGGGCACAAGCAATCTGAACCAAAATCCGCAGATTAAATTTGCGAACAAATTCGGCCGGAACTTATCATACGCTTACGCGCTCGAATTTTCGCAAAAAAAAAAATTGCAAAAATTTTAAAATCGCAATACATGTTAAAAAATTGTTTATAATGATTAATAATCAATGGCAAATGCTACGAAGCAATTCTTCGACTTCGGCGACTTTCGATTACAATCATTTAATAGAAAAAGTTCTGGATCGAGCAACTAATAATTAAAGAAAAAAATTTTTTAATTATCATGTATTTCGAAGCGGACGGCGTTTTCAAACTCGACATCCGAATGCATAGAACGCATGTTGATCGTTGCTTTTTCTTTTTTGAAAATGCTTTGCTTGGCTTAATTTCTTTGGGCATAGAAAAGTTGAAGAAGAAAAAAGTTAAACAAGTTCAAAATAGCGTACTAAGCTAATTAAAAAGATGAAGTATTGTCTGCTGCAATGCTTGCCTATTAATTGCTTTGTTTCGCATCATGTCATGGCTCTGCAAAAAGCCATTCGCCTATCGTTTCTGGCGCGTAATCGTGCATTAACATATTTGATTTTGAAGCAACAAACAAAAAGCCATACCTACATACATTCATTTAAAATAGAGGATACAGAGGGAAATTTACCTTTTACGCTTTACATACAACAACAGTTTGCAGTTTTAGTCTTAAACGTTGATTTTTATCAAGCCAAACTAATGAACTCATTTTCTTATCTTTCTCTCCCCACTTGCAGATCTATGAATGTTGTGTTTTCAAATTGACATTTCCACGAACGGTAAGTTGTACTTCTTACGAATTTATTTAGAAAGCGACCCTTGTCATTTGCTTGTCTCTAGTAAGGAGGTAGGTTATAGGTGCGCACACACTCACACGATGATATATAAAAAAGAAAAGCAAGAATATGAAATAGTAAGGCGAAAAAAATAAAAATTAAAAAAAAAAAATTAAAAAAAAACAACAACTTGTCATTTGACACGAAAATGTCATAAAAATGACATTTGATGAGTACTTTCCTCTCTCTCTCTTTCTCTTTCTTCTTCTTTCCCTCTCTCTCTCTCCCTCAATAATTTTTCAGCTATTTGGGCACGTTTCTATTTACCTTTTCTTTTTCTGTTCTGCGGTTGCACCATAATAAATTTCTGCCATTGGATATAACGAGAATTATATAGAAATTCACATCACCACACACTGTAATAATCATAACTGAGAACGAGAAAAAACGAATTTGTTAAAAGGTTGTAGTGACCTTGGACTGAATTTTGGATACCCAACATATTCGTTCGTGGTGTTAGTTAAGAACACCATTAATTCATTATTAAATTTTGTTCCCAACAAGTAATCGTAAACTTTCCCTCACTAAATATTGCTTTGCTCTTTGTCTATAAAATCGTATCGTATCGTATTTAATAAAGTTAATCCTTTCCAAGCGATCGATTAACAATTCTTGAGAATGTCGTGTAGTATTTGTTTCGCTTCTTTCGCTTCTTTTCACGCGAAATCATTATAAACTTTTCGAAATTTTTCACAAGACGATCAAATTGCGTATTAACTAAGCTTGCAAACCTTATCAAAGTTCCCGCCGTTCTCTGTTCAAATGGTAGGCGTAAACGATTGTCGAAGAAATTTTGAACGAAAACGAAGAAATCTTATGAACAAACATGAATAGGAAAAAAAATTATTCAAGGCTACTCTAGCACTAGATGATATCTCAGTCTAACAATTTCCCCATGTGACGCGTGGTATCGTTTATGGAGGATCGTTAAGGAGGGCGCGTGTTATATAAAATATTATTCATTACATTAAAAATGATTAGCTCTGCTGGCTTCTAAAGACGGCTTCATTGCATCAAACGTTCTGGGTATATTTTCTAAACGAACAACTTCAAAGTTTGTTCATACAATCGATATGAAAGTGTATAGGCGAAATTCTGCTCCTTTCCTATTGCGGTCTCTACGGCCCGGTTAGGAAGTTTTAATAAAACAAAGACGAAACGATTTGATACAAATAAACATAGAGACGGACGCACAAGTTCATGGATCGAGAAATTTTTAATTAATTTAAGATTCCATGGCTTTTCGGTATTTTTTGTTACTCTCGAAACTTTGTCGAAAGGGATTAGTAAGATTAATGAAAAATGAAGAAATCCAAAATTGCGAAAGAAAATCGACAGAATCTTAGTTCAAACACAACACAATCTGCTAGCGGGCTTCCAATATCGTTGATTATACTAAACTCGATTATAGCTTGCCGGTTATTATCGATAATAGTTTGGTATTTTTAATACCCAGTCTTGTGCCTATCACTGAAGTTAAAGGGCCATATTCGGGCATCGTTCAGAACGAGACTTCAAAAGCCCCCTAAAGTCTGTATATTCTTGACCAATAGCACGTAGCTTGGCTTTGAGTATGAGCCAAACTGGTTAGAGGATACGTTTACAGCACAATTTAAACTGAGAATTTTTTTGTTCTCGAAATCAAAAAGATTGCGGTCTTTCTTCATCACTCATAGTCTACAGCAGATGCAACAATAAATGCCTCCATTTATATTCTATAGGTTATCTCATAGTACACCTGCACATAAATGGCAAAATCGACCACGTCTACCTTACGTTACGTATAACAAAATATTGACGTTCATTATTTTATTTGATTTGTGCACGAGGACTTAGACAATTGCTTAGCCTTCATATTTCAGTTTCAAAGACCAATTCAGTTCAGTTCAGTTCAAAGACCAGCATATCAATATCAACTGAATATCAAATAATGACAATCAGATAGGTTTCAAGCGTTCTCTAGGGGTCTACATCTACTCCCGGATATTAGCATTAAATTAATGTACACTCGTTTCCATTGAAAACTTTTATGAATTCAATGTTCCTTGTAGCGAACGGGTTGGAAAAGGAAAGTGTATTTAAACTAAATTGGAATTGAAAAAAAAAAAAAAAAAAAAAATTCTATTCTCGCCCCTGGATCTCTCTCTCTCTCTCTCTCTCTCTCTCACTCTCTCTCTCTCTCTCCTGTTTTTATATAATAGTTATAAAATAACCCTCTGCTTAGAGAAGACAAGAAATTAGAAAGTCAAAGGCATGGGTCTCTTTGATTGTAAACATCACGTCATATAACGATTGACATTGCACTTGACAGCATTCCCAAACGTAAATCTTTCATCTGTAAAGGCAATCTTCAATCGTACAACTAACTCGACAAATTTTGGTACTTTCGCTTGCAAACTTTACCGATCAATTAATAATTGTTGATGATATTTACATCCCATGCAATTCCGATCCCCAATGACTTGGTTATATATATGAAATATAACAAGTATTGGAAGAACCTGAAATTGGCGGAAATAAGTTTTTCTTTTTATTTTTTCTTTATTTTCTTTGGAAAAGTAAAAGACATCTGTCTATCTATTCTACATTATACACGTTCTCCTTAATCATTTGCCAGGCGATTATTTGGGAATTGCAACCGAAATAACAAACTTGACATACCCAGGAAAGGTGAACGTATATAGAAATAGAAGGAAAAAGAAAAAAAAAAAAAAAAAAAAGAAAAAAAAGAAAAGAAACAAGAAAAAACAAGCATACACCGAAAACCAGCTTGCGTGTCTGTTATAATTGATGATAAATGTTATATAATTAGAAAATGTCAAGTTTTGAAAATTTTGAAAAATTATAGAACCATCTAAACTACTAAGCACAACAACTATTCTACAACCCAAAAATTAAAAAGAAAAAAAATTTTTTTTTTTTCTCGATTATCGCGTATAAATTAGAAATACTTATACAAAGCTATAATTAAATTATGTAGAAAAAAGTTGTTATCTTAAAATGATTAGGTTCAGAAAATAGAAAACAAAAAACAGACAGTGAAAAATATTTTTTAATCATTAAAGTGTGAGACCGAAAAAACAAAGAAAAGCATAAATACTTGAAATACATATACAAAAAAAAAAAAAAAAAAAAAAAAAAAAAAAACTTATTTTACTTTGAAGGCCACACAAAGCAAAAGTAACGAGAGAATTTATTAGCTGGTGATGCGATGATCGCTCTCACTCTTACAAGTCGCAAAAACATAAAAAACTGTTCGAATAAAAGTTAAGCACTACTCTGACTGATGACCGATAGGCTTATCCAAACAAGCTTAACTAACTTGTTATAATATAAGCGAGCTGTGCTTATGACGGGCGGGTTAATCGAAAGACATGTATTCGCCTTAGGGCGATATATGAAATTAGATTTTAGAATTGTGGAATTTGTTTTTTTTTTTTTTTGATAACCACAAGTAATAGTATGCGTTCAAGCTGAAACAAAGAAGAAAACGTCCTAGAGAAATTTGAAATTTGTATCTGTTGTACGTTAGCGTAAAATATATAATATACTATATATGAAATTGTGTGTGGGATTGTAAGCTTGCAAGAGTGTTGCGCAATCTTTACTTTGTATTCTGCATGCGTTATCAGCTGCTTGTTCCAGTTAATATACTCTCATCTTTTCACGCTATGTACATCGATTCACTACTACAGTTCATTTGGAACGCATGTCTATATGTAAATACATGTATGCATTTACGACCCACAAGGGCTTTATATGCATATACCCATATGTATATACAATTATCAATACATACATGCATACATGCATAAAAACATAATGAATATACACATTGTTTATTCTTATATAAGCTTTTTCTCTTTTATTTTTCAGTTGGACTCAAGTTACCAGTTCAATTGAAAATAAACTCAAAAAAAAAAAAAAAAAAAAAAAAAAAGATAAATAAATAAATGAAACAATTGTAGGGTTTCTGGTTTTGCATTGTTTTTTTGTTGATATTCTAAATTATTTTGTATGCATCGCAACCGAAAAATAATTTCCTTATTTTTTTATTTATTTATTTTTTTTTGAAGATAATTAACGCAAACTCGGTTCAATGTCATACCCAAATTTTCACGAACATATTAAATAACATAAAATATCATGTTCATTATATAAAAAAAAATCCACCTACCACTATAAGGTCAACCAATGTACACATGTATATATGTTTTCAATGTAAGAGAAAATTTTATCTTTTGCATAACGATTTTAATGCTTTTGACTTAAGCATATAAAACGATTCAATTTTATATTCGTATCACTTTATAGACCTTGTCTAGTTATCTATAAATTGTTTCATGAATAGAATATAATTCAGTTGATGAAATATTTCCCTTTAATTGAGACCTAAATGAAAAATATTCAACTCTTTTGCTTTGTAAGACTTGCTGTGTACTCTTCTGTTGAGCAAATTGTAATAATTTGTTCGCCGCATCCATGCAATGCCAGTAATTTGTGAAAATTTCTTATATTTCGGGAATTTTTTTTTCATTTCGTTCCTTTCACATTTTACTTATTTGTGCTGCATAAACAGTAGAGAATACAGTACCAGTGACAATGAATATTGTATATAGCAACCGAAGCAGAATGTTTGTATAAGTGCATTTCTGACGTAATCCAAGCATAATTAGAAAAAAAAAACTTTTTATTTTTTCTTATCTAAACGTTAAATTACCTGGCAAATGCTTAACGAAGAATGAAAAAGTAAAAAAAAAAAAAAAGAAAAAACACAAAAAACAACCTATTTATCCCGCACTATTTTTCCTCGCTACTGCGATTCACTGTGATCCACTTTAAAAGAAAGAACTGTTTAGCAGATGACAACAATTCTTCAACTAATTAGTTTCAATTTCATAGAAATCTTTTACGAAAGAAGTTAATTACTGCTGTCGCTTTCCACGCGCTTGTATGCCCAGTATTGTTAGACGCTCTCATTGTTACTTTATTGTTTTGAATAGCATGGAGACAAAAGATATATATAACCACGCTTTAATTTAATTAACACAAACTCGAGTTAAGAATATAGTTAAAGATAACAAAAAAAAAAACAAAAAAAAAAAAAAAA